TTTTTTCAAATTTCTTTCCAAGCCATATTTTTTAAATATTAATTAATTCATGTAAAAAGCCTCCTCCCGACCTTTGCCCTGAGGTCTCGTGTGCCCTTCGCGCGGCTCTCCGATCCATAGTCCATCTCTCCTTTCAAGAAATTTTCGCACACGCTCGATAACACCCAGCGATAACGTATACCCAATCGAGAATATGCTTCCTGGAGGAAGACCGTGTGTCCGGAGTGTGAGTGGGCGATTATTAATACAAAACGAATCTTCGTCAGTCATTCGTCACTGTCGAAGGAGCAACGGGGGGGCAGCAATCAGCATTTTCTCCTCGTGGCGCCTGCCCATTTCGTGGGCACCGCACGATGTTATTTTTCGCAGGAAATTACCCACTTTCCTCTCCTCATTCGCCTCTGCCGTTTCACGAGGTATATACACCACAGAGAGTCGCGTGTACACGTCGCTGAAATAAATCAGCCGGCACGTCGATCCTATCGTGGTGTGAATCGCACGATTCTACAATATGGATATTGCTTCGTTTCCCGAAACCGCCTCTCCAAAACGAAAGCTAATTTTCCTTCCCTCCTCGCCTTATCTTTTACCCTTTAAAGTTAATTCCGCCAATTACTTCCCGGTCTATCCGGCCCTGACATCTTTACGGCGCGATTCGTACCGATTTACGCGTTCCTTAGGCGCGCTATCTCGAGGACGGACGCCTAAAATACGAAAGGGTACAGATAAGAACACGTCGATCGATCCCATGGGCGAGGATCCTCGAAAAAAATAGGGGAATTATGGCGGAAAGTAAAGACAGAGAGAGAGAGAGAGAGGAAGGGAAAGCGTTCCACCCTATCGCGTGGCTCCTTTCGAATTGCCTTTGAATAACGAGTTTGTTGTTACTGGCGTTCGAGATTTCGTCTGGATTTTCCAAGAGTTTACGAGTTGATCTCGATCGAGGAATATAAACCACAGTTTTATGTATTAAACCTCGGGGAACCTTCAACCTAAACTTGAGCAACGTGAGCAACTCTAGACAGAGCAGATAGAAATACATTCCTTTTTAGAACAGGAATAATAACTTGATAGTTTATTATTTTATCTTCGTCTGTTATCTATCTTATGACTAATACAAATCTTCTTATGGTTTACACTACTGTAAAATGTAAAAAATAAACTCAAAAGAGTTGAATTATTCGTTGGATTCGTTAAAAGATAAAATTAATCAAATGTGTATTTATAATCTCATCTCTTTTTTCATTGGAAAATTTACTACTTTATCAAGTTCAAGTATATAATTCTACGACTCTTCATACTTAAAAATTTTTGGTTAATGAAAATTAATCGCAATAACATTGTAATAACTTTTGATTCCATTTTAATTCAGAAACGATTGTAGGATAATAGTAAAATATGTAAAATCTGAAAAATGAATGAATATATATAAAATCTGGAATGTTGGACCTTTTCTCAAAAAGGTCTTCAGCAACCTAACCGTGTTAAACCGTAGCTTCAGACGGATGCAATAAAATCTATTGAATATCAACCTTCTGATCGTCGAGGGTGGACATTACGACGGTATTCTCGCGGGCTGTGAGAGAGGGAGATGAAGAGAGACAGAGACAGAGAGAGAGAGAGAGAGAGAGAGAGAGAAAGAGAAAGGAAGAGGAAGACGAGGAGAATGAAGTGGAGCAAGACAGATCTCTCGTCCTCTCGGAGTGACTTCGTATAGCTGACGATTCTCGCATGCCGTCCCGGCATGCGATTCGCGACTCTCGGGGGGGAACCCTTTCTCTCGTCTTTCCTCGCAGCCCTCCTTCCCATCCCCCGTCCGTCGACGACGCAACTCACCTTGCTGCGTGCGGGGCTGAGGTAACGGCCCGTGACGATTTGAAACGGGCGCACTGAACACACTCCATGCCTCCACTCCTGTCGAACACCAGCGGCCACGGGCACACCGTACACCACCGTGTGTGTCTTACACGCGCGTATGTGTATGTATAAAATTGCGTGCTCGCGCGCGTGCGTGCGTGCGTGCGTGCGTGGAGCGCGTGGGGAGGGCGAGTGTATGCCTAGGTTTTCGGGATTTTCACAATCGGCAGGTGGCACGCGGACGCGCCGTCACCGGTCGGACGCGGGCGGCGGGCATCGACGCGTGCGAAACGCGGACGGTCACGACGCGGAGGCGCGAAAAATAGAAAAAAACACGGGAGTACGACGGGTAGTCGCACAGTAGCACGTCGCGTCGCGAAATACGCGTGCGACTCGGCCCCGCTCGGCCGTGCTCGGCCCGACTCGGACGTCGCCGCGGCGCGTCGCCGCCACACCGTAGCGACGCCGCGCGGCGTACGCGGCAAGCTTCTTCGAAAGCAGTTACGTATTAATCGGAGAATAATTCTGAAATATGTTGCTTCAGAGAACGATATGCGAGATGAATTGCAGCGAGATTTCGACAAATATTATTTCCGGATCTCACGAAAAAAAAAAAAAGCAAACGCTTTCGGACTTGGAAATGTAGAAATATTTAAATTTATTTTGTAGAAATATTTTAAATTTGATCTGTTGAAATAAATATAAGATTATCTATGAGGTGAGATTCGAAATCCACAGCACATTTTATCCAAGAAATATCCTTAGAACGTCCTTTTATCTTTAGAATATTTGTCTTCTAAATGTCTTTAGTACATTTATTGGACATCTGTGCTGTATGGGATATTTCTTTCAAAAATGAAAAAAAATATAATGGAAAATAACGTCAAAATATTTTATAATTAAATTATAAAATTCGATTTTCATCAGGTATTTAATACATGTAGGAATTATGATAATTTCGAATCTGTAAGGATATCAAAATTATTTTAATTTAGTGAAATCGATAATGCAAAAATATTCCATTGATAGTCCGTTACCATCGAACGTTGTGAGATGAATAAATAACATTATTAAATAACGATGTATATACCTAATAATTACATTTCCTTTGTATTTTGTTGAGGACAAATATAGAGAGCCGATGTAGAAGAGTAGATGACTGCCGATATTGAAATCGCAACACATGCAATATTGATTGTACACAATCCGTTTTCAACATTATGAATATTTTACAAGATGAATCTAATAATTATTCGCGCACGAAATTCGCTATTGGAATCATGTAAAATACGAAGCGTGAATACGATTTTACGAACTCTGAGCCATGACTAAGTGCGATTTGAAAAGCCAAATCTTCGAAAATCGCAAAAGAACGATATATCGAAACGCAATTTGATTCGCAAGCTAATTATATATGTTTCATATAATACATTCTTTTAATTGTACTTTGCGTGGAATGAATATAAATTTAATTAACATATGGAGAAAATACAAAAGAAGATAAATATGGAAAGCACATTAAAAAGGTTTCTATAGTTTAATACGATAATAAAATAAAATATGTCCTCTCTTTTATAGATGTAAACTGCTGAAATTATTATGGAATAATAAATCAATTATGCATTGATTGTTTAATACAATAAAATTTCATTTTTAGATACAGTAAAAATATACAGTAAAATATGTAACTTTTATTAAATTTATTTATTTACAATATGTAATGTTAAGTACAAATATGTGACAAAATGCGGAGATCCGATATTATAAAGACCTATACTTTTCATATGTTAAAATTTGCAATAATTTATCTTTATATGTCGGATCCAAAATGTCTTCCAACTTGTTTTGGAGTGACGGCGGCTCGCACCGATAATCACGCACAATTCCTCTAAATGATGAAAACATTGTATGAAAATTGCTATCTAAATGATAATTTATCCATCTCACAACATTCGATGGTAACGGTCTATTAATGGAATATTTTTGTATTATCAATTTCACTAAATCAAAACATAAATACGATATCCTTACGGGTTCAAAAACATCATAATTCCTACATTTATTGAATACCTGTTAATAAATTCAAATTATAATTTTAATGACATGAAGCTTTTTGATTATATATCACACTCGTACACATGTTCACTTACGTCTGTTTCGTCCATTTCGTAATCTGTATCCCCAAATAACGAAATACTCCAGCAAAAAAGAGCGCTAATTGCTATTTCGGGGTGCTTATCAGCGACCATTTCGCCGAAGATTTGAAAGAATATCGATAAAGTTTCTTGTATACATCTTAATTCGTTGCATGGTTTAATTCTACAAAGCAGTTTGGACGCTTCGTGTCGAATGTCTGCATTATCATCAAGTAATAATTGTAACAGTACCGTCCACAAATCCAAAATGGGGTCTATAAAGTTTTTTTTTATATTGTTTTTTTTTATATTGTTATATGAATTTAATTCTATTAGCTATGTACTCGATTTACACATACTGTAATATTCGATACTAATATTGGTTTTTTCAAAAAGTCCATATAATATATCGAAAATTGATGATCTGAAATCCATACGTAACGAACTAATCCAATTATTATCACAGACTGTTCTATAGACAGTCTCTGTATGTTTGATAGCAAGCTGTTCATCCTTAAAATTAATATAAACTCATCAGACTACATCAGATATTAAAAAAAATATATATCGAATATAATAAAATCAAAATTAAAAACTAAAGATCGAAAAGATTATTAGATCTTTAAAATAACTAATGTTACGAACAAACCTGTAATTCATGAAGTAATGTCATCATACATTTTCCTAGCAATCTCAAGTAATTAACACGTTGAGAATAAATATTGCTTGCACTATGTTGATGCAGTTCTCTAAGAACCAAATTACAAATTTTACGTTTGTCAGAGAGACAACATTCATTTATATCCATCAGACTGTTATACAAGAAATCGAAAATCGCATCTTGTAATTTAGGATTATATTTATATAAATTTTTGGCAAAATCAATAGCTACGCAAATAGCATAAGATCTTAATAATTCTCTTGATTGATTAGATTCTTTCTTCAATACTTCAAAAACAGTGGTCCAGGTAATGCTTTGTATTTCGGCTTCCGGCATGATCAAAAGCCGCGAATATATGATGAACGCTTTACTTTGCTCATTGTGCACAGTTTGGAAGAAATTCGAATTTTTCCCAACGCAAAGTATGAATTTGATTACAGATACTTTGTATATTTGCTCGCCTGCTCCTTGTCTTAATAGAACTTTCTTAATTAAATGTTCTTGCAATATATACAATATATCATCTTTACAATTTTCAATCCTAAAAGTATGAAAAATATTTATTAGTAAAGTTTAATTTTAGTCAAATTTTATAGTGTTTTGCTTTTGTAAAATTATCTTTCTTACATATTTTTATTTAAATTATATAATTCACGAATGATGTCGACATATACACTTGCTACAAGAAAACAACTAAACATATTAGTTCTTTTCTCCAATCCTTTCAATATCCAATCTGTTGAGCTTAAAAAATTTGTAACATCAGATATTGATAACTGTACATGGACAGATGGCAATCTTGTTAAGATCTCTAATATCTATAATCCAATAATTAAGAATTATAATTTTAAGCTTACATATCATAATATTTCTTAGTTATATTAAAAAATTTAGGAATTTTAATATTTTTATTTTTTATATTTTAATATTTTATCTAAATTATCTATAATTATATTTCTCATTATTTTCAATTGCCGAAATTTTATACTTACTTGTAACAAATAGCCATGTGTTAGATTCATCGAGATTCGAGTATCTCGTGCTGTACATAAAATTAGAAATAACTTTTTCACAATATTGTGAACTGTAGCCTCTGTTAATAAGGGTACCAATGCTCTGGCTACAAGTTTACGTGTTTCATATACAGGGCTTTTAGCGCATTGTGATATCAAATTAACAAATTCATTTATCTGGAAATCCACCACCATTATATCGTTCGTTTCTAACGAATAATGAAAAGATTGGATTATTTATAATTACCTTCCACGTAACGTCAGTGCTGTCGAAATGGTAACTAATATACAATCGTGATAATAATAATAAAATCGCTTGTACGTTTGATTTTATCACGTTATCATTAATCGATATAAAGGTTCGTAATTCATTTAGAATAAAAGGCAACAAATTGGGATATCTTTCGAAAAATATTCTTCCTGTCATTTTGTTATCCGTTGTCAAGTTGACGTGATCTTTGGTTCTCTGAACACCAAAAATTCGGATGATAAGTGCACTAAACAATAACGTAGCCGCATTACATTCCTATGTCAGAAATTATTATTATTATATAAATATGATTAAAATAATATTAAAAATTTTCATTAATATAATACACAGCATTACTTACTGCCCATGTTTTACTTTCATAATTTCTAAAGGCAACTATCAAACCATCCGCGATATAATTCTTAACCATGTCTCCGAGTTGTGAATGCCTAAATAAAGCTCTAAGGATGTTCATAGAATGAGTTTTTATCTCGGTTACATCAAGTTTAATTTCTGTACAATCATAATCGTTCCTATTCTCTATTAACGGTTCCGTTAAATGTTCATACTTGGAAAATATAGTATCTTTATACATTATGTGCTTTACTTTTTGCCACAGATTAATTGTATTTTCAAGTTGTGAGAATTGTAATAAAATTTTCATAACCGAATGAAATGTGGAAATTTCTGAATTATTATGAATTTTTGGTTCCGAAGATAACACTGCCTGTTTTTAAAAAATTATTTTAAAAAGTTTTTCTTTAATACAAATTCATGTTTTTAATAAAATATCCACCTATACCTGAATCATAAATGGAACACCGGCGCTTCTCCTTGTTGCACATAATTTCGAATATCCTGGCATTAATCCCGTTATACCTATTAAAATATTGTGTAGCCAATGCGTAGGAAGTGCATTTAGAGTCTTGTTCGTTGACCGCCACAACCGCATGCATAATTGATGAAAACCAACGTACACTTGTTCAAACGCACCTCTGTGTTTTGTTTCGCATAATAATGAGACTAGATGTTTCATTATGTGCTCAATCTGTTAACATAATATACCTTTGTGTTTTATTAAAAATAAAAATATATGCACAAATCTTACTTGCTTCTCTGTTAGCAGTCCATTTTGAGATTCCGCAGTTTGTATCGATGCCTTGGTGGCAAGTAGACCAAATAATTGGCTAACTTCTTTAACAGTACGCCAAGAACAAAGTAACACCATTTGTGGCGTTATTATTTCTTTCTCTGGAAATGATACGTCGTTAAAGTTTAACATTTCCAAATCCATTGGTAAATGTCCTTCCGGTGAAGAGTTATTCACTATCACAGAAACAGTATGATTTAATTCAAAACACAGTAATATAATATCAGCTATGGCATTTTGCCATGGTTTGCTCATCCCTACGTCTCTAAATCAAGAAAAAAAGAAACATATACAAATTATTTTTTCAAAAAGTTATTAATATATATTCCATTTAATTACCTCAAATTACAGTCAGAAAGCAAACTTCTTATGCAGAATAAATGTCCGTATAAAGAATTGTTAATGATTGCCATACCTATGTTCTTTTTTGCCAAATTTAATGCCTCCTGAAGAATAAAGGCAGTAATTTCTATATATTGTTATTTTTTAATGTACATTAAAATG